CTTCACATTGGAATTGTTTTGGTGATGGGAGTGGAGCCACTGGAGGGGGAGGGTACACCATATTAGATCGAGCTCCAGATTACATGTTCAGGGTTCCTTTGAGCAAGTTTTTGTTCCCTATGCTCTATGTTTTGAAGGTAGGATCATGGCTCCAGCAACGTGAGCTGTGAACGGTGGAGCAAACTTTTGTTAGCATTTACACTTGTACCCAACCAGGATACCTGCAAAACAAAAATTAGAAACGGATATCAGGGTAAATGTTGAGAATGGGCTCTAAGCATAATGCAGGGAACTTGTTTTATTCGATATTCTGTTCATTTACTGACGGGACTCGAGGAATTATTCAAATTTCAGATACTTTTTGCAGTCTAGTTTCATGTTTGACCACGTGTATACCATGCTTGCCAACACTGAACTCGTGTTTATCTAATAGTATGCCGTTTTTCGCCTTTTGAAGCGAATGATTAACAAAACAAGCAACGTATGTTTCATAAATTTTAAATATTTGGTGGCTTACACTTACTTTTTTGGTTAGATTTTCACGTAGAAGTGAAAATAATTTCCGCTGTAAGGTGCTTTCCATTCTGCAAACCACGAATATCTATTCGACGGCGATCGTCTACTGATTGGTTGATCCGCAAAAGGAGGCGGGGTCCACAAGCCGACAATTTCGGCAACAAAAGCAGCTATTGGAACCGTTTACCACAATAATAACGGCACACACATACAATATTCGTGTTTCAGTAAACAAATTACACAATATGGATACCCGTTTTTAGTTAACAGGCATGTATGTAATTTGATTTCATACAGTTTTATCTGCCCTTGACCAAATCTAATCGAAATTGCCTTAACATCGCTTTGAATGACATCTCATACAACTTGTTCGACCTTCTAACAAAGATTATATACTAATTCAATCATAACGTGTACCAGTTCCAAAATCCCGTATCCAGAGGTTGTGGTGTTATGTTTGGAGAGGTTAAGAAAGTTTTGCATTTCGAATGTTGAATTGTTAGAATCAGTTAAATGTGCTTTGTCTATATGCCTTTTTGTTTATTGTTGACATATGTGCTTGTTTTTGTAGTGATTTATTTGACGTGGCTCGGTACTTGTACATCCCGTCATTGTGCTGATGTGCTATGGTAAATTTTTGTATTATTGTCATTCGTTTTTGCAAATGTGCTTTGTCTATATGCTTTTTGTTTGTCATTGTTGACATATTTGTTTGTTTTTGTAGTGATTAAGATTATAACACAATGTTAACTGCTGTACCCTTATTTTTGACATTTGTACCTATTATGTCTGTTTGTTTTGTTCACACATCGTTGTCAATATAATGGAATTTTATGCGACTGTCATACAAGTGAGTGGTTTAATTAGCTATAACACCAAGTTTAATCCACGATTTTCTACATGAGAAAATGCCTGTACCAAGTCAGGTATATGACAGTTGTTATCCATTCGTTTGATGTGTTTGAGCTTTTTTTTTTGCCATTTGCTTAGGGACTTTCCGTTTATAATTTTCCTCGGAGTTCGGTATTTTTGTTATTTTACTTTGTAAATGTCGAATAGAGGCAACAGTAGTATACCGGTGTTCAAAAGTCATAAATCGATTGAGAGAAAACAAATCCGGGTTACAAACTAAAACCGAGGAAAACACATTAACTATAAGAGGAAAAATGAAGTGCAACAAAAACAAACGCCAACATACATAGAAACGAACTATTTGATAACAACTGAGCCTTATTTCAATACACCCAAAACATTGCATGAGCATCGTTGTTCGTCTCTTGTAGTATTACTTGATACTTCGTATACCTATTGGTTGTGAGAACAACGAAAAGAAATCGGATAGAACTGACAACTGCTTTGTTTGTTTTGTTGAAAAAAAAGAATAAAAGAATGTGTTATGAATTTTAACTTGACATAAGCTTCAAAGCTAGTAATCATCTGTCCGTTACTAGGGTTTCAACCATCAAAACAGATTGTCTGCAATGATATGTTACCATTTGTCTTATTCTAGCATGTCTAGTATACATTTAACTTGATACACTCATGAATTAGTAGACAATTTACCTGTCGGCAATATAATCTGTGTCTGAAGCACTTAGATAATTCTGGCGGACTAATCTAGCATGTTAACAACCCCTTCTAATTCTTTATTATCCATACCGCAATTTGTGAAAAATACACGCAAGTGTATGTTAAAACAAAAATACTGCTTTGTTTATAAAGAAACAACATTAAAACTAAAACTATCAAACGTCATCACAAAATGATATCAAAGCCAATTGTTTTTCACAGCTTGATAATCTGTTATAGTTCCCTGTCGAGAAAAGATGACATCTTTAATACTATTTGACCTTCTCACTTAAATACCTGTAGTATAGTTACCACTATGTGTACAAGGTCCCCGTTCTGATTTCCAGGTATTTTCGATAAAGGCAACAGTAGTATACCGCTGTGCAATAGTCATAAAGCGATTAAGCGAAAACAAATGCGGTTGACAAAGAGGAAAGCGACGGATCAACGGAAACTCTGAACTGCAACAAAACCAAACGCCAACATACGAAGAAACGGACTTTTTGATACCAACTGCAATATTCCTGACTTGGTAGAGGACATGTAAAAAAAATGGTCGGTTAAACCTGGTTTTATGGCTAGCCAAATCTCCCGCTTATATGACAATGTTAACAATACCGCTAAAATGACAACATTAAGTAACAGTATTACAGTACAAATACACGTAAGAATACTTAGGACAGAGAAATATATACATGGTTAAATATGATAGTACATTACAACATGTAAACCACAGAATAACAACGTTAACGAACACCTACCATGAAGCTACGACAGTACACCAGGACACCTCAATAGAACTATAAAATGAGCGTAACACAAATGTTTCAACGCCAAAAAAAGTGACGTATTTTTTGTTACGTATATTTTTGTCACAGGTAAATTTCTAAAAAATAGAATATAAAATTAGATTGAATTTAAATGGTGTTATTGTATATACTTCAAACCATGACAAGAAAATTAAAAAGGAATTGTGTTGTAATGGTGTTTATCAACTCTTATAACATAAGATAAATAGCTACACTGTGTTTTTGTATATTTTGTATATACTTAATAAAGTATCATAAAAATGAATTTTTAAAGATGATTTTATTCAAAATAAGGCTCTCAATTCCTTTTTCGCTTGTTCCTAGAGGCTAGGTCCCATGTGTTTAAACAGGGGAATAAGGCTTTCAATGCCTTTTTCGCTTTTTCCTAGAGGCTAGATCCCACATGTTCAAACAGGGAAATAGACTTTCAATTTATTGTTCGCTTGTTCCTAGAGGCTAGGTCCTATGTGTTTAAACAGGGGAACTAGGCTCTCAATTCTTTTTTTGCTTGTTCCTTGATGCTAGGTCCCACGTATTCAAACAGAGGATTTATGCTCTTAAGTCTTTTTTCGGTTGTTCATAAAGGATAGGTCCAACGTGTTTAAACAGGGAAAATAGGCTCTCCATTCCTTTTTTTTTTGCGTGTTCCTAGATGCTAGGTCCTACGTGTTCATACAGAGGAATTAGGCTCTTAAATCCTTTTTCGGTTGTTCTTAAAGGCTAGGTCCCACGTGTTTAAACAGGGGAACTAGGCTCTCATTTCCCTTTTCGCTTGTTCATACAGACTAGGTATCATGTTTTTAAACAGTGGAGCTAGGCTCTCAATTCCTTATTTGCTTGTTCCTAGAAGCTAGGTCCCATGTGGTTTTTCAGCCAGCCAACTATTCAACCAACCAAAAAATCAATCAATCAACCAATCAATCAAACAACCATGTTTGGAAGGGGAAAGACCGTTAACAATTGTTTTTAAAACAACTGACTTATATTTAATACATTATTATCGCTTCACACAAATTCGTGTCAATACAAACATGTATGAACATGCGAAAACAAATTTAAGATAGAATTTGGAGTACGTCGTTTGTCAGGGTGGAAAATAAATCATGAATCTTAATATTTAGTTTTCGGCTAATATAATTGTTTCAAAATCCTTAACCTCTCACAGAAATTCAAAGAATATGTTTTGCGCTTCCGATAAAAAAAGAATATGTTTTAATTACTTATGAACAGTTTTTGAATGCGTGTCATATCATTCATTGTGATAGTTAATCTATTTTTTTGTCGACAATAGGCAGTTGGGCATTTTTAGGTAGTCATTTGATAGTATGAGTCAGTGTATTTAGGATATCATAACAAAGTACGTTAACGCGCATATACTACCAAAGGTTTAAAAAAGGTTTTTTTTTCTAAAAGGAAATAGCAGACGCGCCCTTTTTCAGTTAACGCTGAGGAAAACATCAAAGTACACATTCATTTACTGTTCGTGTCTACTTATATGTTGGAGTTAATGAATAGTTAACGTGGCGTTTACATGAACAGCAGGTGAGTGATTGTAGCGTTAATTTTTTCCGCCTGGTCTTTTCCCGACTGAACTTTACATTTGTTTCTTTATATGATTATTAAACAAGTTATATTATATTGTGTGTGTAGGGATTGTTTGCGTACTTCCTCTAACTGCTATTAATTCATTAGTCAATTAATGTAGTTATATGTGTACAATGTGTTACTAAATACTCTGAAATGACTTATAACAAAATAGTTCAGTTTTAGATTTCCCTCAGCTAGTGTTCACGCTTAATTTTTTCTTTTTGCAGCACAACATATCGCCGCGAGTGTGTTGGTAATTATACGTAGATAAATAAAAGGCAACGGTAGTATACCGTTATTCAATATCAATAAATCGATTAAGCTAAAGCAAAACGGGCACCAAACCAAAACCGCGTGAAACACATCAACTATGTTTTTTTTTTGTCATTTATGATTTTAGTTTGCCATGATGTGAAACGTCTTCAGAATAAAGAGGTCTTATTTGAAGAGTAAAAATTACACGAGAAAAAACCAAAATGTCATTGTTAACAGAACCACACATGGACAAAAATTAACAAATACATTGGTTTGTGATTTTATTTATAAAAGAAATTTACTGATTTCAAACATTTTATTCATTGTCTTCGTCGTATTACTGTCAACTACAATGAAAAAATACATCAATTAAAATGTGAGTAAAAATGTCCGGGTACCAGTTTTGATTATATCAGCTAAGGAAGGAATGATTTAGTTGAGGTCAACTCTTATTTGTGACACAACAATTTTTTCTTCTTCAGCATTTTAACTGATGTGTTGTAAGTTTAAACCCTTAGTATATTTAAATGATTTTATTCTGCCGATAATAATTAAATAATGTATCATATTGTTGTGCAAATTTTATATTGTAAATGTTACCATGCTACTACCAATAATAATTTAAGTAGGCCCTATATCTAAAATTTGTTAATGTATTGTCCATCAAAAAAGCAGACGTAATAATACTGCAGTCCTGATCATTTGCTAATTCTTCACCGGAATTAATTTAACAAAACATAGATCACATAATGTCAATACATTAATCACCTGATCGATTTGAGGGAAAAAACACCATCTGATTATCCCCATTCTGATCCATGCATTGCTCATGATTTCTCTAACACAATGTGAAGAGGAAAAAACACACTATAAAGGTAATTTCAAACGGTGCTCATTTTACATCAGGTTTTATAAAAAAGACATACACTGAAATTGGAAGTTCACAAATACTACTATTGTGTTGCAAAGGGAAAACAAACAAGGATTGTACGGAATTTTTTACAGCAAACAAATGCCCCGAACTTCTTACTGTTAAAACTGAAACATGACTTGAAAAACCGTTGATCGAAGTGTGTCTGATTGATGATGTACATACACCAGTATTTCACAGATAAAATAGGAAATGTCATCGAATGTAATTATAAACAAAATACAAACTTACATTTCATATACTTAATAATATCCCCCTTTACCAATTCGTCCACTGACAACATTGCTGCCGCCTCTAATGACACTGACAGGTCCTGTGACAACACCACCAATTGAACCTCCAATACCACCGATTGGACCAATAATTCCACTACCACCTCCAACAATACCACTCAAACCACCGACAATACCACCACCGAGAATACCTCCACCACCAATAAGACCAGCTCCTCCAAGTGAAGCACCATAGTTTTGGTTGGTTACCCACCATGGCAATATGGAACAACAAGTATCCAAACTACCAGGAAGGAGAGGTGCCAAGTTACAGTTCTTGTTTAGTTTTATCTGTCCTGGAGCACATTTTAAACTACATGTGCACCATGGTTGACCTCCAAGTCCTGTAAATAAATCATTTAAAATATTTTTTTTTTAAATTCATGTTTATATCGTTGTATAATTGGTTTATGAAATAACGCTCGAAAAATTTGTGTTCGTCTAAAAGCGATTTTCACATTCATTTTGCGAGGTTCTTAATTCAACCTCAATCAAAAAATTGATAAGCAAACAATGAAATTGAGAAATGCATATGTGCAGTACATTATTTGGAGGTATATGACCAAAATTGGCATACACAGATAGCTAAAGGAATAGATTCAATCTGGCCTTTAACTAGCCCTTATTTCTAGCTGCAATTTTGCATTAAGATTTCTTGACTAATTTAGCAATCAATCATAACTAAGACAATTACGAGATATAAAGTATGCCTTTTTGTTGAAAATTTACTTTTTAGCATTTTTCATGAACACGGGAATACTAACATCAATTTATGGACAGGAAACATAGAGTGCATGAGTCAGCGAAAGAGATCTTTTCAAAAAACGGATGTTCTAACATTTTACATATTTGACTAGAGTATTTAGTGTAGCAAATCACGCAGCACTATCATGACTATGGTTCATATGCGATGTGTCAAGTTTGTCCAGAATTTATTAAAGGTATTAAAGGGGAATATGACAATGACATGATGATGCCAACAGGGACTAAAAGTCCATACGGTTTTTAGCCATGCTGGTAATTTAAACAAACACTTGGCAAATTTCGTGCTTTCAGTGTGTTTTGTGGTTTTTCGTTCACCAGGACGTCCACCTTTGTATAATGCACACATTCATTAGACATGCATCGGGTATTTTGTTGAAGTTTTATCTAAGATAAACTATAGTGAAAAGATAAATATCATGTAAGAACACAAATCATGAAGATTTAAAAAAAAAATGTTAAATGTTTCTGTATGTTACTTTAGTGCATGTGTTCATGCTTAGCCATAATTCCTAATATAAAAAAGTTAATTAGAAAAAAAACCTGTGTTTAATCCTCCGATCACTCCGCCTAATCCACCAGTGTTTAACAGAAGTCCACTACCACTGACAATTCCACCAGCCCCACCAATAACTCCACCTCCTCCAATGAGTGCTCCACCAGTTACAACTCCACTATTACCAAGTCCTCCTAACAATGGACCTACTTTGCCATACGCCGAAACGTATCCGACAAGGGAAACTAAAAGTAGAGTCAACATTGACATGGTTTAACTTGATATGTAGAAGATGCGAAGTAACAATCGGATTTTTCATTTTATACTATTTTTATCGTGAGCCACGTGATGCATGCTGTACAAAAACAGTCGTTTGATATATTATGAAAAAGGAGATTTTGTTAATTGTGGTTAAACAAATGTTGTGAACAGTCTGACACAGATCATGCAACTATCACGAACATAGGAGATGACTTTATAATATCAACGAAAAATGACATAGTTTGCTAAAACGTGAAAAGTATAAATATGTAAATGTTTCCTATTGCATCATATTATATTGTCTTATAGACAAAAGTATTTTGTTTTAATTTCATATTCTTGGTTTTTTTCTATTTGAGAAAACAGATTGTTACAAACATATCATATCTTTGAGCCTTAATGAATAAAATGAAGAATTGAAGCGCAGAAATCACATGGTCTTGATTAAAATGAAATTGTATACAAAAATGAGTGTTTCTTTACTTTACCCTACATGTTTCGTCCGACTCATTCACAATGTGTGCTCTACAATTTTTGAATTTTTTTCATAAAGGGAAATTTTAAAGAAACTAAAGTTACAGCTTCCTCATACTGAATTGACTTAACCATATGTTTTGTTGATTTTGTTTTTCATTAATATGCTCTTATCTCCGTATTGATGCATCCTTGGTTTACAAAATATTTTTTTTAATACAGCGCTTTTTAATTTTACAGAAGTTGAGGTAAAAAAATATCAGTCAATATTCTACTTGAACGTCCTCCTTCCTTAACGAATGCATTAATTTAACAAGTCATCAACTATCACTAGTGTTACAATTGCTATAACTGGAAATAGATCAGCCACCCGGACATTTTATCGTTTATACATTTTTGAAATGTCAATTTAAAAATCTACTTGCTTTATAAAAAAACAAAACAAAAAAACAATGACTTTCTCGACAGCGCAGTTTCTATCTCTCACAAATTGTCTATCATCTGTTTCTTAGCTAGGTCTAGTAACTTTGATGACTTTATACATTGCACATAAAATGTAGAAATTAAACATTTAAACATATCTTTAAGCTATTATAGAGTGACTATAGCAAAATACTCAAACGAATTATTTAAACTGTTAAAAAAGCAAGAAAATGCCTAACGGTAGATACTATAAAAATACAAAGATGTGGTATGATTGCCAATGAGACAACTCTCCCCTAGAGTCCAAATGACACAGATATTATCAACTATGGGCCACCATACGGCCTTTCACAATATTTATGCTAATACCGTATAATCATTTATTAAAGGCCTCGGAATTACAAATGTGAAACATTTAAAACGAGAAAACTAGGGCCTAATGTATGTAAATGTACAACATAATGAACCAAAAATGAATATGTTGCATAGCAAAAAACAATGACTACTGTATTGCAGGGTCCTGGCTTTGGACAGGCGCATGCAAATTGTGGCGGGGTTAAACTAGTTTGAAATCTGTGAAATACTATTTCTGTTCTCGGTTTCAGATTACATCAGCAAAGTGTAAGTGAACATGACATATATCCATGATAACGGTGTGAAATTTACTAAAGTGTTTAAAATATAAAGATTTATCATTTATTGCGGTTAGTAAATGTAAACCATAGTTATTAAACATTGTCATCCTACATCAATCTCAAAGTAAATTTTACGATTTGATCAATAACCTACGACAGTTTAGCTTATACAAAATACAATTTAGAAACAGAGAAAAATAATGGTGTTCACCACATTTTCAGCTTTAGTCAAATATTACACGATATTATTTTATGGAATACCTAGTAAGCTTGTTTCAAGCAATAACAACGTTTTCCGTAAATTGCCTTATATTTTATGGATTTTTTCTTCGTAAATCTATTTTCCACAGTACTTCGTTTTCTACATGTTTGTCATCATACATCAATCTTAAAGTACATTTTACGATTTGATGATTATGGCAAATCTTAGTTAAGAACTTAATTTCATTTAATTGATAGATTCAACAACACTAACCGTTACCTTGAAGATATTTTTTTTCAATAAATTATCAATAATACTCTACCTATACTGCTGAAATTTACCCAACTTAACTATTTTTTAATAAATTATATACCAACAGCAATAACTGTCTTTTCTTATATTAAGAAATTTTAGTTTTACACCAGAAACTCTACACAAAAATGTACGATAGAAGGGATCATTTTTCTTTCCCTGTTGTTAGTTTTCCCTTCTTAACGGTGATGTTCATTTAGCACTGTTTTACGGTATTTATATATTCCAACTCGTTTGCTTTCTCCGTAGCTGTAGTGAGGATTTCGATATTAATAAGCGTAATTTATGTTTGACAAGTAAATTATTAAATCAGGAATTTCGTTACCACAAATTACTGAAAACATGTACTTAATTTGTTCATGGATACAAAGATTTGGTCTGCAAGTTTAGCTATACCTGTAGAAAAACCTATGTCAAACGGAATAGCATATTCTCAATTTACAGTGATGTTTTAAACCCATTTAAGAGTCTACTAATTTAGATGTTAACTGTGTAAAAATTTTTATTCTTTAAAAAAACTTATTCTAAAAGGTTTCCTATTCAACACTGTAATTAAATCTTTGAATATCTTTTTTTAATTTGTAATAATTTTGATTTTGTTGTCAGTAAATTAAAGCCATATCAAATATTACATGTATATACTTTCACGATACTATAATCTGTCGATATCTACAGTTTGGTATTGCACAAGGTCATGTTTTTCTCTGGCTGATAATGCCGTCTTTACAATAAATCCATTGGATGTAGGATGTTTAATTATTGATTTATTAGTCTTATATACATTATTGCTTTCATTAGTTATTATTGGCTTTGAACAAGCTGCCCGTAACTGCGAGTACTCTCAGATATGTTTTTTGTTTATGTATGAATACCTGTTCCCGTCCTCTCAATGTTTCCATAGATGTATTTCTATTTGTATCCACCTGATGAGTTAAGGCTTTTTCAACTGATTTTCAAAGTTTGTTCTTATATTGTACTGTTACACCATTGTCCCAGATTGTGAGAGGATTGTGCGTTAACAAACATGATAACATTCTGTATGTGCCTGTCCCAAGTCAGCAGCCCGAAGTTCAGTGGTTGTCTTTGGTTTATGTCTGTCATATTTGTTGTTCGTAAATTGTTTTGTTATAAACCAGGACGTTAGTTTTCTCAATTGAATTGATTTATATTTTGCATGTCGGGGCTTTTTATAGTCGACCATACGGTATCGGATATTTTCATTGTTGAAAACCTACGGTTGCCTATATTGCTTACATCCACTTCATTTGAACTTTGGTTGATAGTTGTATCATTGGCATTCATATCACATCTTATTTTCAAATATGTTATAAATCAAGTTAGTACAAAAGCATTGATTGCAGATCTGATTCTATTCCCGGAGAGTTACTTTCTATCTATCAGTAGTATCTGATTAGTTCTGGAAAAGAGTATCAAAATATGTATACATTTAGTGTGTCCGACGCGAGTATATGAATTTAACTGTATCAGAAGGGCTGAACAATTACACATAAAATGAAGGGTACATGAATACAGAAATCAGAGTTGATTGATAAAAAATCGCCCACCGATATAGTTAAACTTATCCAAGATAAAATTTGACTGAGGAAGTTATGACTTATGTTAGGACCTAGAAAAGTTATGAAACATTTTAACGTTAGCAATAACATTTCATATATCCGCACCATACGGTTACAATATTGAAAAAAACATAGACAATTTCAAACACAATAACGACATTTATTAAATGATACGCGCAAATCAGCCCTAATACGGATAAATCAGCATGTGCAATACTGATGACGTTTCCCTTGTCGATATAAATCAAGAGTTAATAATGCTTTTCGGACAGGGCTAATACGGTAAAGGCCGTATTGGCCCATGAGCTAATACAGTACGTTCACTTCCGGTTTCAATTTTCTTACTCCTTACTTAAATGTGGACGTATCGTTATGCAAAAACATTTGTATTATATAACTTTAATTCAAAATCATAAAATAAAAAGTTTAAATGATGTTCAGTGTTTTGTAACGTATTGAAGTCTTGAAACGGAAATATTTCACAGCCTTTTAGAGTACGATTTTCGACTGTTGACACTGGTTCATTTCCGTTGATCAATCAGCAGAATGCAGATGATCCAAGAGTAAGAATAGTTAAATTATCTGATATATTCTTTCCAGCTTCTTTTTATTTGCTAGATAAAATGAATTGTAATAGCATAACATTAAGTACTTGGACGAGAAATCAGAAATTACATCTGACAATGTTGACAAAAAATCCATGGACGTAAATGCGAAAAGACAAGCTCAGATATGGAATTATGTGTCGTCTTGACGGTAAGTTTCTATGTTCATGTGTAGTTTATTCTAATTAAAATAATCAAAATCATTTAATAAAAGTAGGGTCCAATGCAGCTAACCTAGGATGTTCTTGTCCCAGGCAGAAAACCCTGGCCGTGTTAGGCGCAACTTTTTGGAAATTTTGGTCCTCGGTGCTCTTCAGATTTGTACTTGTTTTGGCTTTCAAACTTTTTTCATCTGAGCGTCACTGGTTGGTCTTGTGTGGACGAGATGCACGTCTGGCGTATTGAAATTTAAGCCTAGTACCTTTTGTTAGCTATTATTTGTGTGTTTCTTTGTCCTATATGTTCTCCCATTTATTCGTATTGTGGTCCTGTCATGTGATGTTGTCGTGTTGGTGTTGTGTTTGACGTTGCCATAAAAGCGGGAGGTTTGGCATGCCACAAAACCAGGTTCAACCCACCATTTTTTTCTTAAAAATGTCCTGTACCAAGTCAGGAAAATGGCCATTGTTATATTATAGTTCGTTTCTGTGTGTGTTACATTTTAATGTTGTGTTTTTGTTGTGTCGTTGTTCTCCTCTTATATTTGATGCGTTTCCCTCAGTTTTAGTTTGTAACCCGGATTTGTTTTTATCTCTATCGAATTATGAGTTTCGAACAGCGGTATACTACTGTTGCCTTTATCTATAACAGGGCCAATACAGAAACAACCAGTTAATAACACTATAATAAATGAAATGTTATGGGTTTCTTTTTCGAAAATTTCAATTCCAATGTATAAACTCATAAAATATGAAAAAAAGTAGTTTAGACATTGCATGCCCTTTAACATATTTTCTTCCTTGACATTCATCAGGAACGTAGATCAAACGTGTAAAACCAAGGATTTCAAAGTAGTGCGGAAAAAAGATAAATGCAAAAATAGTTCCTAAAGTATGAATCCAAGAAAAACTTTGCATGATGTTTCTTTTAAAAAAAGATACCAGATATTTCTTCAATTAAGATATTGAAAAAAAAATGTTTAAAACTGTAAATGTGTTGAACAAATCATTGCTGTTTAGTTCTAAAGTGTATATTACAAATGTTAAAGCTGCCTTGGGCTGATCATCAAATTCTACAAATTTACTTCGAGATTGATGTATGACGACAATGTTTAATAAATATCGTTAAAACTTAATAACCACACACGTTAAATGAAAAAATCTTTTAACCACTCTAGTACAAGACAAACCGTTATTATGGATATATGTCATGTTCACAAACACTTTGCTGATGTAATCCAGCATAGATCATTTTGATTCAGTTACTCTATAATGGCTTAAAGATGAAATTTTAAATTGCTAGTTCAATGTTTTAACTCATCTACGATTACTTACTTTGGTATTTATAAAATATCTAATAATTGAACATGTATGTAAAAAATAAAATAAGATAAAAAAAATACAGAACTCCAAGTAAAATTCAAAACGGAAAGTCAGTAATCAAATGGCAAATCAAAAGCTCAAACAAACCAAAGGAATGAATAACAACGGCCACATTCCTGACTTGGTACGGGGATTTGTATATGTAGAAAATGGTTGAATAAACCTGGTTTTAAAGCTAGCTAAACCTCTCAATTGTGTGATAGTAAAAATATTCCATTATATTGACCACAATGTGTACTATAAACTCATCCGGTAACGGAGCTACCGTTAGGAAGAAAGATAAGAAGTTAGCAATATCCTTTAACTCTACGTTCCTCTATATAGATGATGTTCTCTCACTAAATAATACAAAATTTGATGACTATGTTGAACGAATCTATCCCATCGAACTAGAGATAAAGGATACTACAGATACAGTTAAGTCTGTCTCATATCTTGACTTACATCTAGAACTTGAAAATGAGGGTCGGTAGAAAACAAAACTTTACGACAAAAGAGATAATTTCAGCTTCCCAATTGTGAACTTTCCATTTCTATGTAGTAACATTCCAGCAGCGCCTGCATACGGAGTATATATCTCCCAATTGATACGATATTCCCGGGCTTGTGTTTCCAATCATGATTTCTTTGATAGAGGATTGCTGCTCACAAGGAATCTATTAAACCAAGAGTTCGAAATGGTGAAGTTGAAGTCATCCCTTCGTAAATTTTACGGACGCCATCACGAGTTGGTTGACCGTTATGGAATAACCGTTTCACAGATGATACTACAATACCCTCCCTTTTCACGAATGTGACTTACCGAATTAGACTATTTACCGTATTTGTAATAACATGAGCAACACGACGGGTGCCACATGTGGAGCAGGATCTGCTTACCCTTCCGGAGCACCTGAGATCACCCCCAGTTTTTGGTGGGGTTCGTGTTGCTAAGTCTTTAGTTTTCTATGTTGTGGCATCTGTACTATTGTTTGTCTGTTTGTCTTTTTATTTTTGCCATGGTGTTGTCAGTTTCTTTTCGATCTATGAGTTTGACTGTCCCTCTGGTATCTTTCGTCCCTCTTCTATTATATCAATTGCACCAGTTGTAATGGTTAATGACTGGTTAAACTAATGCAATCACTAAGGAATAAAGCAGTTAAGAGTTTAACTTCGATTGACGTTTTTATATGTCAACGTCTGTAAAATTAAAAAGCGCAGTAGTTCAAAATTTCGTTTAATAACAACGTTTTGTGAAGGTCAGATCAATACCAAATGACCAACGACCAAATGCTTTTCATTAATCGAAAAAAAGGAAATATTTGTATATAACTGTGTAAAGCTCCTATATTAGTTTGATGAATACCAAGCATTAGTATAAAATCAGTTTCAAGGACCATTATTTTTTTTATATACAATCAATTTAATTGATAAAGTTACAGACTCCGCATTTTTTAAACTGAATGCTTGTTGATTCATATAGCCAGAGATAAAAAAAAAACTCAGTGTTTGTATAATATTTGGACGGTGTAATTTCTGCACTTTAAATTCGTCCTTCTTTTTATTAGACATGTTAGGTTTGGGAATAGATGACCTTTCTGGTTCATCTTCATCCTCAACTATTATTTAAACAAACAAAAAAACAAAAAAATGGAAATGCAGAAACGGATGTTATTTTCAGTAATTTTCAAATTCTTTGGATGTAGAAAAGACTTTCGAGCCCGATTACTACCTGATGAAAGTTTATACCCATATCAAGGAAATGATAATTACCAGCAATGTATAAGACATGAATTCAACCTCTTTGGAATTACCGGTGAAACAGTAGATAGTGTTAATGAAGTATATGTAAAACTCATGTGAGCGCTAAGCAGAATAAGACAGAAGAATAAAGAAGCGGTACTTATAGGCTGGCACAATAAACTTATTATGGTTTTGATTTGGTTAAAATGTTACCCCCCATTCAAAACAAATGGCTTTGATGTTTGATGTTAGCAAAACTTTAGTTCATAAAGCTATTCATGAAATTTTGCCTATTCGTCATCAAGCTTTCAGATCAATGATAACATGGCCTTCAGCTGAATAATGGGAATCTATGAAGGATGATTGGCCAGAATCGGAAGAAACTGTTGGATCTATTGATGGCAATGCCCATAGAATAAATCGCCCAACCGATAACCAGGCATTGTTTAATAGTGGAAATCGTCATATACACTGTATTCATACGCAAGTCATAATAGACACAGGAAAGTAAATAAGATACATAAAATCTGGTTTTCTAAGTCATCACAATGACGCGATGACTTACAGATTGATGGATGTGATCGATCCACACGACTATTTTCATTTCCTCGTGATTTTTACTTACTAGGCGATACCATATATCCATCTGAACGAACATAACTAGGCTTACTTCATAGACATAGTCGGAACGAAATTGCACCTATTATAGAACTATGTGCAGCTCTTTTCCGACGACGAAACCTGCCTCATGATTAATGAACATCATAAATAAATTGTATCAACATCTTAAATGTATATAACTTGCATTAGTGTATTTAATAATGGTTGAAATTAACTTTGCTTTTTTGATAGATTCATGTGAATTGTCTTGTGAATTCAAATTTCAAACAATATAATGGCGTAAAAGGCTTGAATCAATTGACATTATAAACATTTACCATTTACCTCACTATTATTTTTGGTTTCGGTATCGGTTTCGGTTTCGGTTTCGGTATCGGCTTATGGTGAACATGTACTTTAAGATCCCAGACTTAGAGATAGGTACGTTTGTATCAATCTGGTTTTTTTTCAAATTAATGTATAAATTATAAATAAATGACGTCTTTTCATAAAAACATATAATCTGATGCAATAGATACAGGTTTATTCTTTTCTCGTTTACAACTTGCTTGTATCAGCAAAATATGGTATTGTTCATTGATCTAATACAGTCATCTTTAATGTTCGTGATAGTTGCATGCTGTGCGTCGGACTTTGTCCAAAAAAACCTGCTTAATAAACATGTGAATGAACTTTACACCTTTTAACCGCAATTTAAAAACTCTCCTTTTTCATAATATATCAAACCACTGTTTTTCTAAGCTATGTATTACCTGCCTTACGATAAAAGCAGTATAAAAGGACATACCTATCCGATAATTACTTCACATCTTCAACAGATCACGTAAAACCATGTCAATGTTGACTCTACTTTTAGTTTCACTTGTCGGATACGTTTCGGCGTATGGCAAAGTAGGTCCATTGTTAGGAGGACTTGGTAGTAGTGGAGTTGTCAATGGTGGAGCACTTATTGGAGGTGGTGGAGTTATTGGTGGGGCTGGTGGAATTGTCAGTGGTGGTGGACTTCTGCTAAACAATGGTGGATTAGGTGGATTAGCTGGAGTAGGTGGATTAGGTGGATTAGGTGGAGTGATCGGAGGTTTAAATACAGGTAATTTGGAATTGACCATTTATGTTATAAATAATTTGCAATTTTTGTATTACTTTGTGTTAAAAGATCGCTGCATTGCTACTGAATATGTGCATTATAGGAAGGTAGACCTCCCGATGAACGCAACATTACAAAAAAAAAAACCGCACTGGTCGCACGCAATTTGCCAAGTACTTATCTAAATTTTTTGTCAGTTTATTTCTGAATTTTCCTTTAGAATCCTTCGCCTTTCTTTCGCTAACACATGCACTCTATATTGCCTGTTTTAGTAGTGATTGTAAACGTGTTCAATGAATTTCAATGGAAAAAATACTGACTGCAACTTGTTGATGTCATGAAAAAAGTACGTTATTTTTCAACAAAAAAGAAATACCTTCTATTTAGTTTGTGTATAAGCTATGAATGGCTGTTAGACAATGTGTTATATTGGTTAATACATCTTAATTCTTAACTATAGCTGAAATGAGGAATATGTTAAGGCCTGATCAAATCTAATTATTTTGCTATAGGATTGAGTCCATTTTGGTCATAGAGGTTCTAACAATAAAGTGTATACACACATCTCTGGATTTCGAATGTTCCCTTATGGAGGTGTCTGATTCAGATTAATCAAGAAATTCTAATGTGAATCTCAACATTGTTTTTACACAAATACTATTTTATCGAGTAATATTGCTTCAATCAATTACACAATGTAATAAACAACACATTTTTAAATTGATATATTTACAGGACTTGGAGGTCAACTATGGTGCACATGTAGTTTGAAATGTGCTCCAGGACAGATCAAACTCAACAAGAACTGTAACTTGGCACCACTCCTTCCTGGTAGTTTGAATACTTGTTGTTCTGTATTGCCATGGTGGGTAACTAACCGAAATTACGGTGTTTCCCTTGGAGGCGCTGGCATTATTGGTGGTGGAGGTATTGTCGGAGGTGTTAGTGGTATTTTAGGGGGTGGTAGTGGACTCCTAAGTCCAATCGGTGGTATTGGAGGTTCAATTGGTGGTGTTGTCACAGGACCTGTCAGTGTCATAGGAGGAGGCAGCAGTGTTGTCAGTGGACGAATTGGTAAAGGAGGATATTATTAGGTATTTGAAATGTAAGTTGATATTTCTTTTTTATATATTATCTAGGATATTTAGTATTACAGCTGTATTACCAGTGGATGTACATCGCCAATCGTACATACTCCGAACAACGTTATTTCTTGTCATGTATAAACTTTCACAATAAGATGTTTGAGGTATTGTTGGACACATTCTTAAATAACTTTTGTTTTATCTTGGCAGAACAAAGTAGTGTATGCAAACTTCCAGTTCAAAGAAATGTTTTTTTTTACAAAATCTCATGTAAAAGTGGCACTGTTTTAAATGGTAAATTGTAACTGTATTATCGATAGTGCGTACATCATTCGGTATACGTTTTATTAAAGAAAACCTGAGCAGTGCAGTTTTTCTGTTCATTATGAGGGAGACATCATTAATAAAGGGACGATCAAGTGTTTTCTTGTTTCAATCTATATCAGATGATAACTTTTAGTCATGATGTGATCTATATTTTGTTAAATCAAATCCGGTAAAGAACAATGACTGCAGTATTATGGCGTCTGAATTTTAACATACAATAGACTATCATATTGAGGATATAGGACCAACTTATATTTTGTATTTGAATGTTGCATGGTTTTTAAATGTTTTTGTAACAGATATAGACAATAAAAGTGTATTGACTTGACATATCAACGATATAAGGATGAGGCTTAGAAACGGGGAAATGCCAGGCTCTGACTATTATTGTCTTTATACTGCAATCTAGAAAAAAAAATTTCAATTGTTGTTTATTGTGTACTGGTTACCGGAATTTTGGATACACCAAACCAGGCATTTCATATCTGAGAAACAGGCTATATTCATGATACTTGCCCCAAAATTTAGAATTCCTTCAGACATTGTTGTATTATTTAGAATTATCAGTGGATTGAGTGCTCTTCAATGATCACCAGACTTTTGCCTTTCATCTGATACCTTAATAACTAAAATGTATGCTACATGGTTTAAGGTTTACACCTGTGCGTATAAATTATTTTGTTTTAAATATGTACTACTTTCTTGCATGTTCTTTTATGACCGAGCCCGATTAGGCGATGTTACATCTTACTAAGTCTATCCAAATTATTCTTGCAAATAATTCCGCTCAAGCCGGTGCAAGGGGCTGTCTTAAACTTGTAGTGAGGGGAGAGTTTTTTCGGTCCGTCTTGCAGGCCTCAATTTGACTTTAAAATGACAGCAATAAAAGCGCTGATCCTTTGCCTTTTGTGTGTTGTGCATGCACTGATTTTGTGTCATGGATAGATACCCCATATCCTTTGTTTTTCTATTATTTCATTGTACAACACAGCAACTACATTGATGAAAAAAATATACTTGTTGTGTAAGATATATGTGGTCCTCCACTCAAACATAAATGTCTTTCCTAGTTTAAAGTATTAATACTGATCTCCTGACACTTTTTTGTTAACATATTAATTAACGGATTTTCTCATTGTAGGTAACAAGAGAACGAAGAAGACCTGTTGTCATGGTTATGACATGTATGATATGGTTGTAAATAGTAAATTTGTTTATCAAATATAATCGCAAACCTATGTCCGTCTTTGTTTTTCTTAACAACTTATGTTTGCCATAAACTATAAACAAGTGAAAGAAACTAAATTGGAAGAACATCATGAAATCGTGTCAGCATTACAGGAAAGTGTTGAAATACATGATAATAATAATCACGATAATTATATTACCGAAAATATTTCACAAATTAATGACCAAGAAAACGAGAACAGTGATGGCGTATTTGCTTGCACTAGACAGAGCTGTGTTAAAGTAAATGTATCCAAATTAAAACAGAAGTTAGACTTTTGGATAAATTTGATACTCAAAATAGTACCTTTTGTTAAAAAAATTAAACAATTTTATACCTTTAGGAAACAAAATATTGATAAAATATGAACAAAAGAAAAACATGGTGGGAATGATATCCATATGCATGTCACCTCTTTTTGTTGATCCCAACCTTCCTTTTGTTGAATTGAACCTTCTTTTAAAATTTCACAAAGAACAATTCATAAAAACTAAAGTTATTGTCCGGAAACCAAATGTGTTAACTACAACATCATACCTTTATACGAACCCAAAATATTTGTGCGGTCGTATAAAAAGTTAACAACCACAACGGACGACGACGGAAGCCAGACGCCACGTGATGAGAAAAGCTAACTTGGCCCTTTGGACAAGGTGAACTAACTAGAGGCTCTCAAGAGCCTGTGTCACTCACCTGTATCTACTGTGGTTTTGGAAATCATGTTTAATACGGTTAAAATCATAATGATGTAGATGAAAGCATCTATATATAGGTTGCTTTGCTGTCTTCAAAACTAAGCAAAAACCATACCATAGTAAGCTTTAAAAGGCCCTGACATGAAAAATGTAAAACAATTCAAAGGATAAAGCAACAACCTGGTTGATGTATAAAACTAGAAACAAAAATGAATATGATAAAAAGTTAACAACAACAACCACTGAATTACAGGCTCCTGATGTGGGACAGATGCTTGCAGAATGTGGTAGGGTTAAGTATAATAATAATAATACTAATAATAAATTCTTTATTTAACGAAGGTAACTCATTTAACATACAATTGTTAATCTCACACGAGGCCTTCACACATTAAAGTGAACGTTTATTACATATAACAATCAATGCACATAACACAATAATCAATAGAGATGTACACAATTACAAATGTATATACACAAGCATGAAAACAGACTGTAGAACTAGCATGGCAAGAATGTCATAAGAAAAAAAAATAAAATTGTCTACTCATTTTGTTTCGTGCAAAAAAAGATTAGCACATTTCACCTTAAAGCTTTCTATATGACATGAATCCTTTACATCAATTGGCAAACTATTCCAAAAAATTAGACCAGAATATTGAAAAGTCTTTTTGAAGTATTCAGACTTTGGCCGTGGTAAATGAAGATGTCCAGATGTTGTTGACCTAAGAGAATAACTATATAGATCATTGCACGCAGTAAATTTACTAGTAAGATAATCTGGCGCTAGTCCATTCATACATTTAAACATTAAAATGGCTTGAAAATATTTTATCCGTGTAAAAATGGTCATCCAATTAAGTTCTTTAAACATTGATATTGATGGATAATCAAAAGGTTTATTCAAAATTAATCTTGCTGTGCGCTTTTGCAGCTTATGTATCCGCTCAATGTTGCAGTTTGCGGTAAAACCCCATATGGTGCAACAATAATCAATTATTGGTAATATATAACTGTTGTAAAAAAGGATAAGACCTTTGCGAGGCAAGTATCGTTTTAATCTATTTAGCAGGTATAATCTGCTTGAAAAAAATCTCACTTACTTTATCTATGTGATTTGACCATGATAGATTTTTATCAATATGAATACCAAGAAGTTGTTCTACTTCCACATTGTCAAATGAAGTCTGATTTTGCGATAATACACACAAGACATCATTACAAATCTCAAGTTTTCTCTCAGATCCCATAAGCATACATTTGGACTTCTTGTTATTTATTATCATATTGTTTTCAGCATACCATTCAATTACGTTTTCAAAGTTTTTATTTAACAAGAGTTTAAGTTTGAAATTGATTTGGACGATATATGCAAATGTAGTTGTGTTATCAGCATATAATTCAGACTCTGTGTGTTTTAATGTAAACGGGAGATCATTTATATAGATTAAGAATAATAAAGATTATAATATGGAACCTAATGGGACCCCGAATGTTACATTATTGTATCCTGATTCAGTTGTTCCAATTTTAACCTTTTGCAATCTATTTGAAAGGTAGGACGAAAACCACTTAACAGAGTGATCATCACATTTATATAAATTAAGTTTCGATAATAAGATGTTATGCTTAACAGTATCAAATGCTTTTTTTAAATCTAGAAATAAAACAGCAGTGAAATTGCCTTTGTCAAATTGTTCAAACCATTTTTTAGTATGTTTGTGAGCACTCAACCCCTGTTTCTCCTAACCTTGTATGCATAGAGAAACTATGTTTGGGTATCAAAGCAATATCAAAGTAACTCTTGTCAAAAGATCAACATTTAATGGTATTTTATAAAAAAAACAAGGTGACCTTTTGAGATGAAAGGCATACAAATGTCAGTCAAATATGACCTTTTTATTATTCTATAATACTACATTCAACTCAACTTAAACCATCTTTTAATGTATATGACCTTTCTCCTGGAAACTATGCCAGTAAAAAAATGTACTAAATAACAAAATATACGGTTTACATTGGTCGTTTATGTATGATCCAATTATCCATTTATCTACAGTGACTGTACTAGAAGATTCCATTTTTGAAACATTCAATATTGAATATGTGAATCTTTTCGCGAATGCTGGTGGGTTTACAACAGTAGCTATGGACAATATTCATAACAACAGGAGTTCACCTACGGCTAAAGAATCGCCACATTGTACACATTTCCATAATTCAGCATTTTTTAGTATAACTTGGATAATTCGTCATAACCAAATGCTTTGAAATATATGCATTTCTCTTATATTCTCTGATACTTTAGCCAATATGTAAGGCGCCAGCACAACTGTTCGTATTATTGCTATAACTTAATAACTAATTACATTAGTATATAATACGATATATCCTAGCACTAACTAAATAAAATAATGCGTTTAATACTTACATCTAGTGACAACCGCCTAATGGGCATGCCCTCTGTCTAATCAGAAATACATGTACGCCAACCTAGTATAACTAGTCAATTGTACTATATCAGTCCGTATTGAACAATGTTTCAGGACGAGATCAAATCTGCCATTACGAATCGACATTCCATGAATACAATCCAGCAATGTGTTAAATTTTTTATGAAACGTGTATCAATTATCACTTGAGATCACACTGTTTTTTTTTTTGCTGTTGCCAAATTGGAACAATTGATCTGGACAAACATATCTAAGCACAACAAAGAGTATCTTCAGGTATTCATATGATATATTATAGTATTTCAAAGACTACGACCCATTTGACAGTACAGACAATACAACAGGAAAACAAAGGCTATATAACAGTAATGTTAAATCTATTCTTCTGTATGGAATTGATTGCTGGAGAGTAACACAAACAGATATGAGATCGCTCTCAAGTTTCCACCACAATTGTCTGAGCCGAATTTGCAAAATCGTCTAGCCAAACCGTATTTCAAATGAACATCTTCATGAAATGAGTACGCCCACAGAAATACAACAGAGGGCCTTCAGATGGTTGGGACATGTTCTCAGAATGCCTGTATCAAATATAACCAGGATAGCTCTTAGATGGACACCCCTGGAGGAGGAGACCAAGAGTATGACCCAAAACCACCTGGTGTTGAACGATGGCGACCTTATTCTCCACCCGGAGATAAGAGGATAAGTAGGTATTCATATAGGAATGGCATTATTGAGAACCTTACGTGATTGGTTAGAAACCAGTAATTGAACAAATGTTCAATCAAGAAAACATAGTTCTTCGTGAACAGCAGATTCGTTTTTAGGCTCTTATGCATCATGCACAAGACATTTCCATGAAATTGCAGTACTTCTCATTCTTTAACAAAGCTCCTATCATAATTTTCACTCAGGTACGAGACTCTGGTGAAAATTATGTAACGTTCAAAGCGATGCAGGACGTGACGGCCATACTGCCATGACGTCCATAGGATGAAACGGCCATACCCCGAAAAGATGAAACGGCCATATGACAAAAACGGCCATACTTTGTGAAGACGTATCGTCCACGGTTTTTTTTTTTTATATAGATGTTATATATGAATTATTTTGATACTTATAGATAGTTATCATAACTTTTAAATAAACTTTACTGTTTTTATATTATTTATCATGTTTAATTTTGTTATATCATTTGTTTACTCATTATATATATATCATAAATGAATGTGTTTAATCTAATAAAATATTAAAATATCATATTGTTTTCTAAATGATTTTTTGATATCTTGCGTATAACAAACAGAACAAAATGAACAAATATGAATGACTATATCCGAATGGGAGACTAATTTCTGTCAAAATTTATAAACACATGTCACAAAATATTATAATAAATGTAGGTAATTAATGTTAGTTTTTTCTTCCTGCAGTAAACAACTTCTAAGACAGTCAACTGGAGGTGTAGTGTACGCAACAAGAAAGTATGGTGCAAAGCCACTGTGATGCAGAGAGGTAACAACTTCGTCGTAGGTGCAACAGACCATTTTCATGCAAGTGATCCAGGCATTACAAAAAGAACCAAGATACGAGTTGGGGTAATAAAACATTTAGATTTTACATATTTTGTAATTGTGTTAAAAAATAATTAAAAAATTGAGCCAACTTAGATAACATGAAATGTGTATTATGTATTATGAGATGACATACTAATGAATAACACTGCTTTTCTTCGTTATGAAGTTCTTTTCAGTATTCTTTTTTTCATAATAATTGATTAATTCAGTATATTATATTGTATGCTATACTATATTGCTCTTGTTGCACATATCATTTGCTTTAGTTTATCATTAATTAAC